CTGCTCTTTGTCATGTGCGTTTCGTGTTTCGTTTTGTTTTTGTTTGCCTTCCTTTCTAGCAGCGAGATTTCTTCTTTCAATTCTTGCTGTTCTTAAATCTAATATCATGGGGGGGGGTGTCATGTGTGACCATGATTCGAGATGGCATGAACAGCAATCGAGTTGTTTCTGTTTTCATATGAATACCTGCTTAGCAAACGGACTATTGACGTATTGATAATAACGGAGTGTTCTTTCATGGACTCTGGAAATATCAGAGGTGTGTTTTGGAATGTGACAGAATGGAGGCTGGTTGCATGTTTGTTTGATTTGCTATCCATTTCTTGAACGCAACGGCGACACCGGTTCGCGTGTACGCGCTGCGTAGTAATTGGTCCTTGGAAACTGTAGTGGAGGAAGGATTTGGNCGAACGCAACGGCGACACCGGTTCGCGAGTACGTGCTGCGTAGTATTTGGTCCTTGGAAACTGTAGTGGAGGAAGGATTTGTTTTGATTGATGAGTACTTGTTGATTTGTCTTCGTGTGGCAGTTTTCTTGGTAGAAGGCTTTACGTTATCCCCTTTGTATTTGGCGCGCCTTGCCATATATCATCGGTCAGGGGTACCCCCTCTATTTCTATAAAATGGTATGTCTTCGATGTTGTTGTCAATCGTCATTGGGGAATTGGCGTGTCATGGCAATTGATTGCCGCAACATTACGAAGAATGGAATGTTTCGTCTGTTTTCGATGTACGATTTGCGAAGTTCGGGATTTGATTTCGTTCACAACGCAGGTTGCGATTTTTGGTGTTGCTCTCAGTACCCAAATATCACAGGATGCGTTTATCAAGTAGAGGGTTGATCCTTTGACGTCTGGTGTACGGNGCAATTGATTGCCGCAACATTACGAAGAATGGAATGTTTCGTCTGTTTTCGATGTACGATTTGCCAAGTTCGGGATTTGATTTCGTTTACAACGCAGGTTGCGATTTTTGGTGTTGCTCTCAGTACCCAAATATCAGAGGATGCGTTTTATCAAGTAGAGGGTTGATCCTTTGACGTCTGGTGTACGGAGAAGGGGGGCGGTAACCAGACATGTATGGGTAGGGTATGCAAGAAGAAAATAAAAGGTATTGTTGGAAGCTGAACGGAGGTTTGTGTTCGAGGAATAATAGTCAACGAGGCAGGGGGGGGGGCTGTCTTCTGGCACTCCATGACTCCAATGTGCCTCGCGCTGTCAACCACGCAGGCAGCGTGTGTAGCGATGTCACATGCTTCAAGGAATTTCGTTTCTGAGGTAGATATGGTGTACTGTGTTGACGAGGTCTTCTGGTTTGTGTTTTCATCGTGTTGGACGTTGAACTCAAGATTGGCCGATAGAAATGCTCTGAAGGATTATTGCATCAATGGTCTTTTATGTTATAAGGATGAGGTATGGCGTCGAGCATTTTTGTGCATTCATGATTGATTCTTGTTTTCAGCTACTTGTGGATGTGAGGTATCCTCAGAAAGTGATTCGTCCCGGACGGTGTTGTATGTGTATGCGAATGTGTTTGTTTCATTTGTTTCTGATATGACCCATTGCGGTTGTTTCGATGATTTGAGATTTGCATGATTTGATATTGGGAATTTGGAAAATTCACCAGCGACCGATGGAAATTCTTGGTGGTGTTCCTGGTTTAATGGTTTTCAACCGATGGGAATTCCAATCAGTGTTTCTGAT